CTAGCGGTGTTGTCTTGACTATTTTGGAGAGGGACTAGAATCCCGGTTTTGTACTGATTATTATGTTTATTTTTGTTGGCCTTCTGTTAGTTTAGGAAAATTTTATGGAGACACCATAGATGGTCATTGCCTGCTACATCGCTTTTCTTTTCTTGGTTAGAAAAGAATTTTCGAATATATGAAGATTCAATAGATGGTTATTGTTTGGTTGTTTGCCTTATGTTTCCGCTGTTATTAAGCAAAAATATCTTCCCATAGTTAGCAAGAAATTGCTTTCAAAATCTAGTTGAAGAGTTGGGACAAGGCACTTTATACTTTTACTCCACAGTTGAACAATCAATAATGATGACGAAAACACGGAAGGGATGCATAAGAATATAGCAATGCAGGAATAACATGAGAACTCAAAGCATTTATCGTCAAATGCAAGACTCAGCATCTATGCATAGGCAACATGCAGTGTCTTTAACTGCTGCCAAGCCCCTCATCCTGCACCACTTCTATGAAACTTAACAACAAGCACATGTGAACAAGTTCGAGATTGTTGTCACCTGCTGAATGAGATGATCAGACATGGTTGCTATGCCAGACTTCACACCTCTCTGATTTCACCTAATAGTTATTCTTTATTTTCTTTACTCAAACCTGCAGGGTTCATTGCCAAGTAGGATAAAGAACGGAAGCAGAGAACTAAGCAAGGAGCATTTATCTCAAATAACTATGTTTGTAAAATCGACTATTCAAATACGAGTCTTGTTTTTCATCACGACTAGGAAAAATAAAAAATAAAAAAGAGAAAGAACTATCAATACAAGTAATATTTTGAATAATTTTTTTGTAAGCTTAAATTTTGGATTAATTTATCATTTAATTAATTATTGCGCATGTGATTAACGACAAAATTCCAGAATTTATAGCTAGAGATGTTATTGTTCATAAGAAACAAGGAAAAACATCAAATTATTGTGTGTTTAGACACTGAGAAGATTAGAAACAAAGAATTTTTCCAATACTAAAAAGCTCTAGAACAAACTGCAATTTAGTTTATAGTTTCAACGATTCAAACTCTGTAATTTATTTTGTGAAGATTCAGTTTCTAAAGTTTATATATTTTTTTTAATAATTTTACACTGTATTTCATAATAATTTAACTATCGTTAGAATGTCTTCAATGGCCAGGAAAAATGCAAAGGAAAAAGTACTTCCAAGGAATCTGGTCCTACCTCTTTAGAGCTGTGAAAGCAACAATGCTAGCTGCTCATCAGACACCTTGACTTCAATGCACACTCCCAGTGATGCAGCAAATCTCGCAGCTAATTGATGCTTGCACTGGACAAAAGGAAAACATAAAGAAGAATTAAAACGAATAACGAAAATAAATCACAGAACGAAAAATCAAACAATTAGATTGATTAAAACAATGATTAAGCAAGAGCATAATGAACAATCTTACACAAAGCTGTTCTCCTTTATTTACGACGTCGTAAAAGAATGAATAACATCCACAATAGTTCTCAGCAAAGCACGGATATTCCTCCTTCCTCCGTGATTCTCCCACGACCTTGTCAATATTTTTCAACAATTTAATCACCTATTTCCAACCGTAGAATTCAAATTTAACACTTCAAAATTTCACAATTAGGTTTTCATATTCACATAGCAAAATGTTTCACAGATTCGAGTTTCTACATCCTCTATTTCGATTTGACAAGTTAGCTTTGATTTTGAGTTACATGCCTAAAATACCTGGAAGATTGAGCGGCCACTCGGCTCACCAGAGATTCTCTTAACACCTCTTTGATCCACTATCCTGGTCGCTCTCTCGAGGTTTTTCCCGAACAAGAAATGCAATCTGCAATAATACTAAATTCACGCAGACACTAGCACACTGGTACTCAAATCTAGATATCTAGGGTAAAATTTTTCAGAATGGGCGAGGTTTTGATGTATACTAACATGGAGAGTTGATCTTCGGTCACTGCAACACTTCCATTAATTTCTTGTCAATGAAAAGCAGTACATGTGAATACAGATTCAAATAATCTATTTATTTTCAATCAAAAGCAGCATATGTGATTACAGATTCATGTGATCACAAATTAAAAAAAGAAAAAAAAAAGCCACCAGAAGACAGATAAGAGTACCTGATCGAGTATCTTCAATGGCTTTCCACACTGCCTCTGCAACCAAACTACTTGCGCTCATCTTTTCACTTTGTTTTCTTTGTTCCTCCTCCGATTTTCTGTGTGTGTGTGTTCCCGCCCCCGCGCGCGTTGGGATGGAGGGAAAGTGTTAATAAATCAAACAATAAATAATATATATAGTTAAATTCTGTAACTGGAAAATAAATGTAAACAGAAAATTGTTTAATTAAATAAATGTTTGAATAGTAGTCTTACTGGATATTCTGGGAGATGATGGACGGACTGGGTGCATAAGAAACTATACCATAAATATTACTTTATACTTGATGGGGTATCGAGGATTGATATTTTAGTGCTCATACCGGACGGGGTAAGGGGACAACCCCTTTCACTCTCATAGCGGACGGAGTACTGAGGGATGATATTTTTGGTATTTATACCGAATGGAGTATGGAGATGACTGGTTACTTGAAAATATTAAATAATAGTTTACGCATAGTGGAGATATCTCTATAAACCCCCATAAATACCAATATACAAATAAAAAGTGAAAGTTGTTGTTCCGCTTAATTGAATATGAGATTATGATATTAGTTATGCTATTGTCTCTATATATTAGTTTTGAAAATTTCGTTACGATAAGTAAATAATAAATAATTTTATTTATAATAAATAAATTTACTTAAAATAAGAGTTATATTAATTATTTTCATAATTTTTACTAATTTTTATTTATGTATCAGTGAGTAGTGTGACATTTTTCTTGTGCTAGTATAGTTCACTATTTCATTAATTATTTTAGATTAACAGAACCAATATCTAAATTCTGATCTATAAGAGGGTTGCGAATATGATGTACAGTTGTTTATTTTTTAATTATTATTTTGATTTTTTGTTGTTTCTTTTAAAAATATCATTTTCGTATCCCTATTGGGTATTCTGAATTATTGTGTAAGAAATTTAAATCATAACGCTATTATTTCACATCCACATTCAGTTTATAATTTATTTTATTTCAAG